GAGAGAGAGAGAGACAGAGAGAGAGACACAGAGAGAGAGAGAGACAGAGAAAGAGCCTCCAGTGTGGTGTAACCATGCCACAGTCTCTCTTATTCCATTTTGCATCCTATTGGGATTTGGGACACGCATGCACATGTGCCTGGTATGTTTTTTCGAGCTGCTGGGGCCAGGATCTGAACCATGGTCAACCATGTGGGATCCAGCTCTCTTAACCACTGGGCTTCAGTCCTGGCCCTTCCAGGCATTTTAAGTCTAGGTAGTTGACAGCATCACTCTCAGACTATCTCAGGAGGGCTCTTTCTCAGTTCTGGTGTCCCACAGAGGAGTAGGCCATGCACCTGCCAAAGGCCCAGCCATGGCGGTGCAGGCGTTAAGGCTCCACTCTGCAGTGCTGGAGCCTCATGGAGGACTGTGGCCCAGATCCCCTGTTGACCTGAGGCCCTCTGGTCACACGTAGGCTGCTAGACAGGAGTGGGGATTGTAGCGAGATGAGACCCTGTGTGTGGGGGGTGTCGGCCCGCTCCCCCCAACCCCAGTGAAGACAAGAAAAACGAATAAACTTTAAGGAATAAAAAGACCCACCAGAAAGGGGAGATACAACGGTTTCTTTGAGCACTTTTTTTTTTTTTTCCCCAAAAGTTTTTGCCTGAGAGAGTGCAATAGTGGGAAAGAGGCAGACCCAGAGAGAAGGAAAGTGGGAAACCGTCCCCGGGGGGATGGCCATGTCACAGTCCCTTGTCCTCCATTCTCCTCATGGGATCTTGAGCATGCACATACATGTGTCCAGTGTGGGTCCTGAGCCACTGGGCCTGCTACTTGGTTGGTCATGTGGGAATCCAGCACCTTAACCACCACACCACCTGCTGGTCCCTATTTGAGTATTTTAAACATATACCTTTTCCTCTCATGGGTAATTTTGCTGGTAATGTGCAAAGCCTATTGCTGAATTGTTTTCCTTTCTTACAGGACTTCGGAGGGCAAATGGTTTGCTTCAAGAATATTGAAAATTAAGAACGTTATTGAAAAAAATCTAAATTTTTCATACAAGTGCACTGCAATCAATACAGCAAGCACTGACATCCAAAACTTCATCTTGATTAAACAAGGTGTGAAAGCTTTAGTTTTGGAAGGTTGTGGAAACCTAGCATGCTGTTACTGAGAGCCCTGAAAGGTCATTGCTTCCTCCTTTTCCACAGCATCCAGCTCCCGGGAAGTGAGGTGACCGTGTGTCACTTTACAAAATGGCTGGAATCCTGTCATGACCCCAAGTAGAGAATGGAAACATGAGATTACTCACTTCTCAGTTACACTGTAACCCCATACAGAAACCCGGGCCAGAGCAGGAAGGCCGGCGGAGCTCAGGGACAGGGATGCTGGCTGAGGGCCGTGGGCGAGGAGGCCAGAGCAGACCCTGTACACCCAACTTCACCCAGAATCCCTGGAGGGAAAGGTCCTGGTGCTCTGGAATGAGCCTCATCGTACAGGTGTAATCGCTGCCTCCAGCCTGCCCTAGCATGGTGCTGGGCTCCGGGGCCCTGGGGTGGCCATTCATTCAGCCTCGATTAGCTGAGGCCCCCTTCCTTGGGCCAGGCCTGCCATCTACAAGTGGCCAGTTGGTGGCCTCATCAGTGGGTTCTCAGACTTTCTCGGAGCCCACTTGATGGAGTGCTCCAGCGCTGCCCACTCCCCTTCCCTACCAAACAATGCAGCCGAAGGCATTGATCCGGCAGCTGCTCATCAGTGTCTCTGTCTGCAGGAAGCTATGTTTTGCAGTTGTCACTGCTCACTCCTCGTCACTCCCAGGTTCTGTCATCGGTTCCTCGGAGATGCAGAGGGAAGTCAGGATCTGAGAGACTAAGAGAAAGGGGAGAGACAGAGACACACACATAGACAAAGATACATAGACAGGCACAGACAGACAAAGACACCGAGACAGAGAGACAGAGAAATAAGGGAGATACGGAGGGATAAAGAGAGAAGAAACAGAGACACATTCATAGAAACAGAAACACAGACAGAGAGGTGGAGACTGAAAAGGAGTCTCAGAGAAGTGAGGGAGAGATGGGGACGAACACAGAGAAAGAGAGAAAGACCCACATAGTGGGTCTTTGGGAAAGTCACGATGCATTTTTGCATAGGAAAACATGCTGTGTCTTTCCCAACGCCCTAACAGAGAATCAGGCAGGGACATCAAGAGATACCAAGAAGAGAACTCGAAGAGAGACAGACAGAGGAGACTCACACAGACGCACACGTGTACACAGATGTCGGCCTGGGCCTGCAGCTCACTCAGTTCCCGCGGCAAAGCCCTCTTTGCCCCACCTGCAGTAGTGGCAATAGACAACGCTCCTTACGTGTTTATTCTGGGCAGGCTCTGGGCTGAGCTCAGTCCATGATGCCGTCCGGTCCGAACCACCAGCTTCTGTAGGTAAAGAAACTCACTCAAGGCCACACAGCAGGTAAAGGTTCTGAAACTCAGACCTGATGAATTCTGGAGTCTATGTTCTCACCTCCTACAGGAACTGTTGCAGGCGCCCTCGTGAGAGAGGCTTGCAAATCTGTTATCTTTATTTGATTACTCCCCTTGCCTGGGTTTCCTGGTGAATATTCACTACCAGCCACCACTCCCCTCTTAGATCAGTTCAGGATTGTCCCGTTCCTGCCCTGGGAATTCTATCACGATAATTTCTCTCTCTGCTACATTTACAAGTGCAGGCTAGGGAAAGGGTCTCCCAACTCACTGTTACCCTGGAGGAGTGTGTGTGCCAGGGCACAGGGTCTTTCTCTGTGTGACTGTGTGATAAATATAGAGACCAGTCATGTGACTTGCATCTTAATAGTTAATTTTATTGGAGAGATGATCTTGAAAAATTTTACTAAGATGGCAAAAGCCTTGAGAACCAGCAGTTGGCGTAATGGCTATGTCGCTGGATTCCCACGTAGTCGACCGTGGTTCATGTCCCGGACCCGGTGGCTTAAAACTCACGATGGGCGCATATGTGTGCATGCCCAAGATCCTGAGAAGAGAATGGAGGAGAAGGGATTGCGGCGTGACCATACCCCCAGAGAGTGATTTCTCGTTTTGTGTCTCTATGTCTCTGTCTGTCTGTCTGGCGAGTGCACGCACCCTATAGCGAAAACCTCTC